CCTCCGGGCCTTGGGCCTCTTGTCTTAAATATATTGAAATTGAAATTGAAATCGATGGCCAAACGCACACAAGCCCCATTGCCCTAGACCCCTTCGTCAGTTTGCTGCGTGAATGCAGATCTAGCGCAAGGACAAGTCGGCACAGGATCTCTGCACCTTGCGTAACTCTAGGACATTGTTATCAGGGGTGAAGCAACTTTTTTGGGCTTTTTATAAAGTTGCTTGTTTTTGTTTATGTTTTCATATTTTTGTAGTTAGAAATAGAAGTCACTTATCCGGTGGTCATATATGACCACCGGATAAGTATTTGCGTACGAAAATCTTTAAAAAAACTTCTGAAAGTTTAGCGACATACCGTATCATTTCATCTTGTTTCTCTTTTAGATTTTACAAAAAAATACATACGCTTCGACAGCGTTTGTCTCAACAACTACGGAATGAAGCTCACAAAAGTCGAAGCAGTTTCATCTTCGGCCGTAGAATTTCCCAAAATACTCAAAGACCATTACTGTGCCGACAAATTTGAGGTGTCTTCAATTGAACGTTTGAATGAAGGTGGAAGTAAGGCAGTTTACAAGTAATTTAATGCGACTTTTATCGCATGCCTCGGCAGATCTATTTTTTGGTTAAAGTAATATATGCTGATGGTTATTTTCTCAACATGTGTCGATCTGGTCCTTTGCTAAACTCGTAGCTCAAGTGCAACAGGTGCCACCATAGTTTTCATTCAATATTTCTGAATTTATTCTTTGCTATGCCTCAGTTTCTAAGTGGGTTTTCAAAACTTCGCGTGTATTCCCGATCGCTGATAAAGTGGGACTACAGGGAGAAGCATCCTAGGTTAGGGCGTATTACCTTTGTGCTACCCAGTCGTTATTTTAAAACTGCTATGTCATATTGACCACGGTGGAGTGTCAATGTGAACTCTTGCCCAAATTTCTCTAATTATCTCTCTGAATCGTGCGATTATGAGCATATAGGATATAAAAAAGTGTTTATTTTTAAACTAAAACTGCAAATTCCTTCGTTCGCTGGCTTGCCGACCTCAAGATCTGCTAGTTACTTAGTCTGTGTAAGCTCTCTTGCTTTACCTATACTAGGCATCTTACTCATTCAAAGCCTGCACATTAATTCGAAGGAATAGTGTTTTAGAAAGTGAACACATTGTCAGTATGTCCTTAAGTGAGTATGCTTATCCACGACTTTCACGTTTGTCTTAATGAGCACAAACTTCTATAATTCTTAGGGTTAGTCTTCGTCGAAAAGAAGGCGAAAACTTCCTGTACACGCCTGGAGACAGCATCTCCCTTATCTGCTCGAATGCAGAGGATGACGTCTCCTGGCTCCTTGACCACACAGACCTGGAGGGAAGTTCACCGGATCAGTCATTACTGATTGAGAGAGAACAAACCAAAAAGTCGAACCCTGGGTTACCTCTCAATGTGTGCATCTCACCAAGACTTCTCATGAGGCACTTTTTAGAACTGCATTCGCCGGCCTCCAGACGCACCCTTAATCTTCTCGTAAACCACTTCAAAAGTGACACCTGTCCGACTTCGCGGGTGCAAAAAGCTCTTCTGCACCAGCTTGTTGGCCGTGAGGGTGCTCCTTTATATAATCGGTGAGTATCTGCTGCTCTAAATTTTCGTCTGAAAACGAGTCACACAGTTGAAACAAATTGTAGGCATGTATCGAAGAAATGCTGCATAAACCAAGTCAACCAGGTTTTAATGTATTCGATAAAGTCTTAAACGAGATCAAACATATTCTTTCATGGCGCTCCCCACTCTTCCAAATCCGAACCATCTACAAAGGACGATGTGGCGATATTTTGTCGACGAAACTTTATTTATATTGTTTTTCAGTGAGCACCAAATGTTCCACTTAAATCTGCATCGCTTCTATACGTTCTTTTCTGTAGAGCAGTTGGATTTCTGAAGAGGTAACATATTTACTCTACAGTTACACCGCGTTTAACCTAAGCATGCTTTTGTCGACCGGGCTGTGTATCCACTGACTACAAGATCGGCGCTTCCATGTTCGATTGCCTTTTAGCTGGATTAGGGATAACAACCTGACCGTCATGGATCTTATAGCAACCTTCGATGCCTGTCATCCTACAGTAACTGCTTTGTTGGATCTATTTCCTTCCCTGCGACCGCGCCCTTACTCCTTAGTCAACGAATGCACTGTCTGCACGGGTGACGACCACCAGCAACTGGTTTTCGTTTACACGCGCGTGGACTTTTGCGCCACTGAAGATCTGGGAACAGTCGAAGGCGTTACCTTTAGGCGCTACCAACGACCTCACGGAACATGTACGGGCTGGTTGGAGGACCTCCGAAAAAAGTTGACTGGCAGCTCCTCGAAGGTCGATCTCTTGGTCCGCCCTCGTGAAAATATGAACAAATTCCGTCACCCATCCGTAGACATATCCAGCAAAGAAAATGCCCCGCTTATCCTAATCGCCGCGGGCACCGGTATAGCACCATTCATCAGCTTTTTGCAATATCGACGTCGTCAAAGGCAACAGGTTAGAAGATTTCCTTGTAATACACTCAATCTAAGGCAGTCTAGCGTTATACGTTAAGAGGTAGAAAAAAAAGTAAGCACGCTAAGGTAACTCAGTGAATTTCTTTGTTAACTTCACCCCTCGCGTCCTTATTCCAAAAATAATCACCTTGTTAATTGCAAAAATCACAGAGCGTAACTGATTATGTCACCTATACGAACAAACATATGACCTGTCAATATTGTCTCAGCCGACGGATAACATTTCGTGGACATTCAAAGTGTCCATATAACTCAAAGTATCCTAATGTTCCACAAACATACCGCACATTTTCTCAAGCTCGACGACGACCTAGCGATCCAAAGTCGAAAATGCACTGAATAAATTTTCTAGTATCCCAAAAAGGACGCCTTTCCTAGAACATACTGCATTGCAATTTGGGCCGTTTGCTTCTCGTCCAGTTTTATTTCCACGCAGACTTTTGAAAATGCACTTACCGGGCGACCTTTCTACTTACTTTCCTCCACCCTCACGGGCATTTACACGTAATCACTAGCGGTGCGGGTAGATATGTAGTGTTCACTTGTCGCCGTAAGCAATCGAGTGACAATTGGCCTTCGGTGTTCATCGGGCGAAACATGGATCAGCATGGCCCATTGAAAGTGTGCTTGCCACACATTGATACACCGACATATTGCTAGTCAGGGCTCTTTTCTGTTTTGATCGTGGGTGGATTGATGAGTTTTTTTGGAATATGTAGAACTGAAGCTTTGTAAATAGTGCGGTCGCCCTAAGCAACCGAGAGCCAATTGGCTTCCGGTGTTCATCGGGTGAAAAATAGATTGGCATGGCCCATTGAAAGTGTGCTTGCCACACATTGATACACATTGTGTTTGCCACAGAAAGTGACGCCGACGTATTGTCAATCAGGATTCTTGTGTTTATGGAGCGCAACTAGTTGGCTGAGCGTGTACAAGGAAGTGGTTTGGTGACTGTCTCCGATGAGCAATGTAAGCGTGTTTTTTTCGCCAT